GACTGTAAAAATATTTGCAAAAGATGTAAGAAGTGTAGAGAGAGAAATCATACTGAGAGACCAGGAGGCTGTGAAGCTCAAGAGGATTATTTATATTAACACTTTTTATTTGTCTGCTGCTACAGCAAAAATAGAGGGTTGAATGTCCCTGGCATTTCACAACTGATAATGACTGATGTTAGTCAGAGATTAGTCCTGAAACTACAAATAGTAACTTTACTACATATTGCACACAGACCGGTCAATAAAACGTGTCAAATTCCGATTAACGGTATTTTTATCACACTGAAAATTATGTTGGTGTATATGATTTATGTATACCAACATAATTTTCTGTGTGATCTAAATACTGCTAATCCTAATTTGACACACAAAATTATGTTAAGGCACGGACTGGGAAGGATTTTCAGCCTTGGCATTTTTTTCATCTACACCAGACCATTTATGGACCGTCACAAACACACAAATACACATTGTTGTCTGATGCTTAGGGATAGATAGGTTAATCCACAACCATCACCAAGAGTTCTATAATGCGGTTTTACTGGCTTTGGTTATTAACACGGACGTGGCAGTGACTGCTGCTGCATAACGTCCACACTTGCACAAAGCCAGCTGGAAACCCACTCACACATACTACGTAGGTCTACAACGTAAGCCTGAGTGTTGTAAAAACACCAACATAAAACAATACAATAGAGGCAGACAGGCAGTTTTTCAAGAATGAATACATAAAAGCTCAGCGGGTTTTTTTTTTTAAGCATTCACTGCAAGTCTAGGTGAAATGGAATAATGTAAACAGATGTAAAACCCCATCATGCACCGCAACATATTTTTGCAAAACATTCATAACATAAATTTGCCAAATATAAGAATATACATTCTAGTTTGGTTTAAAGAAAGCATTCTAGTTTTATAATTTAGTTTGTTGCAAGGACTTTGGACTGTGGGTCTATATATGGCTGACTTATACATTCTGCTGACATATATATTCTTATTTTCAAAATTATCTATGTAAAACAAAATACATTCTTATTTTTAAAATTATCTATGTAAAACAAACTCCTCATCAAATGACAAGACAGGTGAAATGGACATTGCGAAAGCCTTTGTAAACCATGGCGGCCTCTGTATTTTTCAAGGGGAAAAGCAGCAGGGGGAGAAGTTCATATTGCTGCAGTCTGAATATTGGATCTCGCTGAAAATCATATACTTTAAGTTGGGTCTCTACAAAATTTAATATCTGAAAATGTTGGGGACTTCAGCAGATCTACATTGTCTGACTGTTTGGTAATGGATGTGGTCAGACAACACCATAAGCTCTTACAATAAATTACATTTATTCAATCTTACTGAAAAGATGCTTTTTGTTTAACCTACTAGTGTTTTTTGATCAAATATCATGGCTTCATCCGGATCAAGAAACCTGTTATCCCTGGGTTCTTTCACAAAATTTTCAGGTGACACATTTCGTGTTTGATTGGACAAAAATTATGTTATAATGCTCCAGAAAGCAGTTTGGCATCCAAATGAGAAGCTCCCTGTAACTACATACACTCTTTAGGTAATGTTACCAATAATCTCAGCAATCACATACTAAAAGATTTTAAATGAATAAATTTTAATTTTAATTTAAGCTTAATTTCTTAAAGTCAACTTTTTCATTCATGCTTTATCACTAATAACCAGTCTGAAATGGATTCTCTGAAGAATCTGGCCTTGGTCCCATCACCTCCAGTGGGTTGTGAGGTAGTACTTGATTAATGAGTCGGGGGACAGAATGATCTCTCATACCTACACAAATACATTCTACCAGGCATCAGAGATGACGAGATAAAATTTGGGATTGAGACATGAGCAGAAATGGGACACGGAAATCTTAAGAATAGACTAGAAGTCTTGTGGCGCCTGGGAAGCAGTGTCGGGGTTAAGGGTCTTCCTCAGGGACCCAGATTGGCGGTCTGTGGGAGTGAGGCTTGAACTCAGAACTTTTGGATTCCAAAGGCAATCCCCCAACCACTAGGCCGCCAATCCTCTAATCCCCTACTGCATAGCCTCCTTTCGAACCTTTGTATGCCAGTAGTTAGTGTAGTTGGTTTCGCTAACCATAAGCAACGGCCTTTGTGTGCTGATACCTGCAATACCTATAAGGATTCCCAGCATTTCTAAATCCAGCATGGGAACATAACTGGGATTAAGTCTGAAGGAAACCAAGGTGTGACAGTGCAGTACTTGGCTCAACCTGCTGAAGTCTCACCTGATTGATGGCCACAACCAACATCCTTTTGTAGAAATAACTGTTTTTCTTTCACTCCATCCCTTGGCATGACGCCTCATGTTAGATATCAATGGCTAGAGTCTGGGATTCCTTCTTTTCACCTAAACCATCCTAAACCAACTAAACCATGGGCATGAGGCCTATCTGACAGACCTTTACTGAGTCAGTTGTAAAAGTAGATCTGCCTTCAGAGGAAAGAAATGAGCAGTGTGCTGACCCAGATCTCTTGTGTGGACAGTGTTAGAGCACCAGGGACAGATCCAGATACAGCCTGTGAAGCAGACTGTGTATTCAGCTGCTGTGTCTGTAAATCAGGAGATGATTACACCCAGACTGTGAGCAGAAAGTTAGCGTAAATATATCCTCCTTTCATTCAGAACAGCTCTGGCTCTGGCAAAGATCCACAGAAACTAATAAATAAGCAATGAGCTCGCTGACTCAGTGGTCTGTTGTTGAGGTGATGATAGTAAAATCCTGCCTCCCTTATGTGTGTTAAACACAAACTGAGCTCTCTCTTTTCTCAAACTAGCAAACACATTAACTTCATGTTTGCCTTTCAAACTCCTTGAGAACAAAAGCCTAGACACATTAAAGAAGAAATGCTGACCTCAGGTCAGGTGGTCTGATAGTCTCAATCTATTTAGTGTTTAAAATTTTAACTGTTTACTTTGACTATTCCTTGTAAGTTTCATTTCTTTATCGGCTAACCAAGCATCAACTTATGTGGTGAAGATTGCTTCTTGAGGAGTTCCTCCAGCAGAAAGCAGAACCCAATTGTTTGAGGAGAATATCTTAAACCCTGTTGTGTGATGTAAAATCTCTGTCTGCCATCTCTTTAGAAGTAAGTCTTCAGAAGTATTTTTTGTGTGCAGCTGCTTTAAGCGGAATTCCTTCTGTTATGTTTGGTTTGAATTTTCTACATTTTTTTTTTATTAAATCTGGATCAGTGTACCCTATTTCAAACTGTGCTGAACACAAATTCAGTTATAATGGTTATAAATGACTTATTATGTTAAGGTGATTAACTTGGGTTGCTGGGCTTTTTGGATAAAGTTATGTGCACAAGTCTACAGGGGACACCAAAAAACACAGTGATGTTTTATATGTAGGACCAGAGAATCCCAAAATATTTTATAACAAATACATTAATAAATGCAATTGTTTAGGTACCAAAACTGTTAAACAACAAAGAGAGCCACATTTTCTTCTTTTAGAATCCAAACTAATAATCTTTGTCATTATGAAACCATAACAAAATTCTATAAAGAGTTCCTGCTGTGAATGTACACATATTACCCAAAAAGAAATTAGATAAATGTCTACAAAAAGTAACTGCCTCTGAAGCAAAACATCAAATAGCACTTCAGAGAGGAAATAGAAGAAAAAATCCTTCCTTCTTTGAAGGATTTTTACTTCTTTCACAAGTGCTTCAATTTTTCTTCTAAGAAAAATATGCCAACAATTTAGTATTATAAAATTATATATATATATTTTTTTTACAATACTCTATTGATCCAAAGGGAAAATAAATGTTGACATAAAACAACAAGTCACTGTAGATGTTGATAGCTGTAGGCAGGAAGGATCCTCTGTAGCGGTTTTACTTCCACTGGATCTGGAGAAGCCTTTGACTGGAGACACTGTATTTCTTCCACAGTCTTCTGAAGAGGATGTTCATGGTTGGCCATTTTCTTTATGAAATCATATCCAGAGATTCTAGAGTAGTTTCTAGGACATTTTTCAGCTGGTTGAGCTTATTTAAGCCACTTGCTCTGATGCTGTTACCCCAGCAGATGATGGCAGAGGTGTACCTGTCATACCCTTTGTTTTGTTCAGATTCATGATCAAGTAATTGCTCCCACAAAATGCCTACAGAGTTGCCCCCCTGCTCTCTATACTCTGCTTCTTGTGCGTCTATGATGACTCTAAACTGTGTGCACAGTTATTATGCAAGTTGTAGTTGTGATGATAAATTTTCTTGTTGAACATATACAGCTCTCTTGGTCAATCCAAAATGTTATTAAGGGCAAAAATTGTTTCGTCATGCACATTACAGTGCCTCCTTTTCACATACAAAAACATGGTTAGTCTGCAGTAAACACCTCCATATTCCAACCTTATATGCCCCATACATTTCACCCAACTTATAGAATAGTCATTGGATATATTCTTGGTACTAGTTTCTTGACCCAGATTTGGGATGGGTGTTTTTGGTAGACTGTCCAATTACTTTATCTTAATGTATAGAATGCATTAGATCTAAATAATGTGTTTAGTGCACGTGCAGAAAGTTTGAAGTTTATTGGAAATATTTAATGTGCCATATCTTAAAAACTATTAAAGTGTTGGCTACCATTTTGGGTACACAGAGACTCACATATGGTACCAATTTGGACAATTAATAACAGAATAATAGGCTGTATATTGTGGTTGAACATTACATTCCAACATTTACTGTCACTTGCATTAAGCTTTTTTATATGGTTTTCTGCTTCTAGCTCTTAAAACTGACCCATTAGGAGTTAGTGCCTTGAATTAATGCTTCCATATAGCCAAGATGTATGGCTACTAATAAAATATATTTTTATAAAGTAATACTGAGTTTTCCATTTTTTAAAGCAAATCGCTGTTCTGTTATGTGCAGGAAGGTATTTGACTCAAAGTTCTTTGCTCATTTCAAATTGATCATTGAATTGACATTTTTCTGCTTGTGTTCTTTCAGGTAGATTAAAGGGGATAGCGATGATGTCTGGATTAAACCCAACCTCTTCAGAACACCGTGGAGATACCCTTTGTAGTGCTGATAATGGCAATGTGGAAACAGGAGATGATGCCCTGGACCAAGAGCTTCTCCCAGATCTGATTCATCATCACCCTAATCTTTTCAGCTCTTCTCCTTTAAGGGAAAAGATGTATGAGGTTGACAGCAGCTGGAGCCAGGGTGTAGACCAGCTGAGATATGGACCGTGAGTGGATTTCTATTTGTGTTTCTGCAGAACTTTCCATAAATACCCCCTTAACTTATAATAAAGATACTTGAAGCATTTAAAAATATGTCAAAGACTTAAAGGTGAACTATTATGCAAAACTGAATGATTGTGTATCTTTGTTCTTCCACTTGGATCTCTGCTGCTCTAAAAACAGTTAAAGTGCAAACAACACAAACAGTAATGATTCTGTTTTACTGGTGTATAGAAGATTTGATTTTCGAATACCCCTCTAATTTATACCATCCAAAGTAGTGGATACTGCCCTTCCTCTAGTGACCCCAAATGAGCCCAGCCTAGCAACCTACATGACAAGATTACATCAAAGCAATTGTTTGAATAAATCACGTTCACAATTTAATGTTAGCTTTATTACATACTGAAAAATTTATCTGTATATAACTCTTACAATGAACTACAGCTCAAAAGACAGAAAGCTATTGGTTAGCTTAATGCTTATTTGAGTATTAAGGCTAAATTCCTTAGGAAAGCTAATGTTATCAGCACATCTTATTTTTTTTCTCAGATTATGTTCTACTTCAACAAACAAAATGGCTCCTACAAGTATTTCAATCTAAAAAAAACTCACACGAAGAGAAAACACAATTAGGAGAAATGTATTTATACAATTACTTTGTCTTTGGCGCCCAGACCTTGGCAGGAAACATAGCACTTAATCTTGATAGATATGCACGAACAGGCGCAAAGAATAGGGCTGTTTCCCCCAAGCCTGAAACTGGTGTTGGAGTGGAGATAGATGAAGTTGGTCAGTCTGTAGACTGCCTGTTAGCGAGATGGTACGCTGAGCTTTATGGGGAGATCAAGTGGATTGCGTGACCTGAAACTTGGGCTTCACTTAGGGATCTGGAAGATGGAAGTCCAGTTGGATAACACAGGTTGAGAGAACCTGTCCATGATGAGCAAGCATGAAGCGACAGTGGAGAGGAAAAACTCCCCTTTGGGAAGAAACCTCGGGCAGAACCAGGCTCAACATGGCTATCTTCTGCCTGACCAGTTGAGATGAGACGGAATGCAGTAAGAGTCCAGGAGGAATGAACTCTGATGAAGCTTTAGCTACGATGGTGGAGGAGGGGCTGGTGTCATCTGAATGAAGTCACACAGCGCATCCATGGCCTGTGCATAGGAGCAGACAAGTACAGATTTGAGGCCTTTTGATGAACTTTGGATGCCAATTGGTTTTCGTGGAGGGGGGGATCAAAGCTGATTGGCTTTGTCGAAGGTGGATGTAGAAGAGCAATTAGTTTCTTCAGTTGAACTTCTGCCTAGGCAGATACCAAACTTATTCTGTATTTATTTTAATGTGTATTTATATATACAGTACAGTGAGGAAATTAAGCATTTGAACACCCAATTTTGCAAGTTCTCCCACTTAGAAATCATGGAGAGGTCTGAAATTGTCATTGTAGGTGCATATGCATTTGGAGAGGCATAATCTAAAAAAGAAAATCCAGAATTCACAATATATGATTTTTTTTTATCAAACTATTTATTTGTATGATACAACTGCAAATACGTATTTGAACACCTGAGAAAATCAATGTTAAGATTTGGTACAGTAGCCTTTGTTTGCAATTACAGAGGTCAAACCTTGGTGTGGGTGTGGAGGAAGTCATTTATGTTAAGAGGGAAAAAACAACCTTAAACAGAGGAGAAGGACTCAGGTTTTAGCTCTCAAAAACTATAACGTGGCGTAAGAGTTCAATTCTTCCCGCTATCATCTGAATCCTCATCGCCATGCAGGTGGCAAAACATTGCGGCGTTAAGCCAGGCCAACAACAACCCTAACAACTCCCCATTACACAGGCATGGACCAGTTTCGGATTAATTTTCTGGCCAACAATGACCTCATAGGCTCCCCTTTAAAAAGGGTTTGACTTGTTTTCAGTTCAATTTGCATGTATTCTAAGCCATAACACAGCTTTTGTTGGGCTAGCCTATAAAGCCTGGAACTCACTGCAACCTCAGACATTTTGAATTAATAAATCTATATGGATGGTAAATGTAATGTCTTAGAAATTGGAAAACAAAGTACAGTGGTTTGTTTTTAGCCTTTCTTGGAATCACACCCTTGAATTCTGTGTATTCCTTTTCTATAAATGTGGTTCCCATTATGTTATTAATAAAGGCCTTTAAAAATTCTCTATTTATTCTGGTTTGAGATGCTGAACAGATTCATAATATGGGGCTTTGCTTTATAGCTGTGGCAGTATTTTTTGACTCATTCATTGTAATAACCCTTAATAATCTGTTCAAGCCAAATGTGGGAAATTGAAGTGGAAAAAAATCTGAACAGATATACCCACCCTGCTCTGTCACAGCCTTAATACACCGTCAGTTTGACATGGAAAAAAAAAATCAGATTGTGGTTGAAAAAGTCAGATCACTGGTGTGATCCAGTCCTTAGAAACACGTAAACCTGCAAGGAATTTATTTATACACAATAAATAAGACATATATAAACATTGTTATCAGCATATTAAAGACCACTATACCCTGTAAAAAATGCAGAAATGACCCCAGTTGCTTTTACAAAGAGAACTCTGTTTTAAACATATTGAAATTAACTCATACCTTTTCATGGCACCCACTTCACTGGATGTCAGAGCCTGTAAATAATTTTAGATCCAATCAAACATTTTCGGTTAGAGGCCAGATCCATTTAAAAACAGTAGATCAATAAAAAAAAACAAGTGATAAAACTTTTCCTCAACAGGAATGTTCATTCTCCAAAACAGATTAAAATCTAAGACTTAACTGAGAAATGTATTTTCAATGTTCAATTCAATTAAGTTTATTCATATAGTGTCAATTCTCAACACTGTTTATCTCGAGGCACTTTACAAAGACAATTTAACAAGATCATAGTCCGGTTTTCTATGTTCTAAGAGTCTAAGTTTTCTCTGTAAGAAAAACCAGCTGATTGCGTCGACTATTTGACTCAAGAGCCAATCACTCACAGCAAGCATGTTTGTAGCGACAGTAGAGTGGAAAACTGCATTTTAACAGGAAGAAACCTCTAGCTGAAGCAGGCTTGGTACAGTATGAGCAACCATCTGCAGATGATTTGAGAATTATAATGCCACAACTTCACAGTTAAAGACTACACCTTCTCTGTTTGGTCCCCTACAGTAAACAGTTTTAGTCTGAGCAAGAAAAGGGTTTTATCTGCATAATGTAGATCAATTGTTCCAAATCCTTTTCTTCAGGTTGTTTTCATGTTTTTATGCTGTCTCTTTGTTGGCCTAAACCTGACTTCAATATATAGATGATTAAGAGGCAACAGTACCCATTACGGGAGTTTAAAGAACAATATAAAACAAATGCATGCTCTTGTATAGCTCGTCCATGGACCCCAGAGGGCCAAAGTGTACTACATTAATTCATTCAACGATTCAAGCAGACATCACTTGCCAGCCATAGCTGTGTTGGAGCATTATGCAATCAGCACCACCTGGCCCTCTGATGACAAAAAATTAGGCAAGTCGAGTGAATTTTCTTGCCCAAGATCAAAATTACTGAAGCACACTGTTCAAGGGCTCGAAATAGCAACCAACTGGTTAACATGATAGAGGGAAGGACTCAGGTTAGCACATTTCTTGTGTGTTGGTGTTATAACATTTGCTGTGAGTCATTTCTCTCCTCATAGTTGGAGCCTTTAAAATGCTTTCCATTTATTTCACAGGGCTTGAGTTTTCATTGGTCCTCTTCTCTGCAGGTTGGAAAGGAAGTGGCTGCTCTGGCATGAGTTTATGATAGAACACACCCACCTAGATGCTTGGCTGCAATTGGCTGAGCAGGCAGTCACCACTTTAAACCTCGAGCAGGTAACCTACAGTGCCTGCAAAGAGGAGCTGAGGAGGTTTGAGGTGAGGAGAAACAAGCTACAGCACTTGCTTTAGTTTTTGTCTTTTATGTGTTTATCAGTTCTTTAAGAATCTTCTTAAAACTTTTGGATCAGAGAATCTGCCATGTACAATAAATTATTTTATTAAAAAAACATTTTTTTTAATAAAACTTATGCCTCAAACTTTATCCATTTAAAAAATACAGAGTTTGCATGAGAATATTTCTATTAAAACAAAATGGATGTAACAATGCAACTTTTGAGCAACTTTTAAGCATTTTGTGACCATGTTCAGAGGTTGCGATGTGAGGCGGGATGTCAATTCATCCAGCTGGACAGCCTGACCAGAAGGAACCGGATCTTAACCCGGCTCTTTCAGGGTACGATGCAGGCTCGGCTGCTAGCGTCGGCTAGGGAATGTGGCCAGCGATGGGAAGATGTTGATGCCAAACTGGAAACCATTACAAGACGACTACAGGTTGGAAATTAAAATCTAATGTGTTTAAACTAAAGAGTAAACAATCTGGGGTTCTGAAGCTGCAAACATTTTATAAAGTTTCAACTGGAACACATTTACCTCTACCATAGTGCTGAATCATAATTTTGATCAGTTCATATTAGTATGATGCTTAGTTGGAATACATCCCTTATTTAGGTCTTAATTTTTTATATTTCTTATATATAAATAAAAATTCAAACTAAAAGTCAACCCGGTGGCCGTTTCAGGATTAAATTCATACATTTGAAATTCCTTTTTTTTTTAATGATTTTTGGTGGGGGGTTTTCTCTTCTCTTCGCCAGTCGTTGGTATCAGAGTGGGAGGATTTTGAAGCAGAGAGAGAGGAGCTTGCACTCTGGTTGGCCGACATGGACACTCGTCTCACAGAGATAGATCACATGAGTGGAAACAACTGTGAGAAATTGAGACGGCTTCAGGTGAATTCCATTTGAATTCCATTATTGTTGTGGGAGAAAAACAACAAAGATGTTTTTAAAGACAGAGTTTAGATAACTAGCTATGTTCCTTTACAAAGCCTCAGAACATTCACCTTATCTCAACTAATGTCTGAAATCCTTACAATATGACTGAACTCCTCTATCTGGCAAGAAAATGTTGTAGATGTATTCAATTCAGTTTTTTATATAGCGCCATTTCACAATATGTCATCTCAAGGCACTTTACAGAGACAATTCAACCAGATCATATAGTCAGAATGGTTCAAAGTATTCAATCTAAGGAAAACCAGCTGATTGTATCGACTCATTGACTCGGAAACAATCCCTCAGACCAAGCACGCTTGTAGTGTCAGTGGAGAGGAAACAGGAAGAAACTTCAAACCTCTCTGTGGTTTGTGACAAAATAAGAGTCCTTGGGCATGAGAAGTTATAGTGCGTCTATATGATGTTCTGATCTTAACAAGCCTGCCGTCTAGAGTCATCTTTTAAAATGTGCTGTTAGCCCTATTCCTTGAATAACAAGGCTTAGATTAGATTACTTTGGCAAATTGTGGGAGAATGTATTTCTGCAAATCCTCAGTTTTCTGACTCGCAGCAAAACCAAACAGGCTTAACCAGACTTTTGCCCAATGTACTGTCAAAAACTGTTAATATTTTTTTTTGAAAATCCAAAAAGAAGTCCATTCCATCCAATTTATTCTCTTTGTGGTTGAAGGATGATGTGTATTTTTCTAAATCCTACCAATATAGAACATGGTAATGACAGCATCATGAGTTGGGATTATTTGTCTTAAATTGAAACTGTACATGCTCTTATCTCTGTGTAATTTTCTACCAGGGGTGGCTGGAGTTTTAATAACTTCTGTGTATTCTCAGTCTTTTCAGCACTCTGTGTGTGAAAACTCCGGTCGTGTGAACAACCTGCTGCAGCGTGGCGAGGAGTTGCTCCAGCGCAGCGAGTCTGCTGACGCTCAACATGTGGAGAGCCGCCTGCTTGAGCTGCTGCGTCGCTGCAGCCATGTCTACAACAACATCGCCCGGACGCACACTCGGCTCCTCAGCATGAGACTGGTATACAGTTTATTTAATATCTCATGTTGTTCTCTCCAAGCTGTGTATCTAAAGGTTCCTGACACACTTGGGGTATTGGAGTAGTTGATGATGGTCTTTGTTCTCCCAGGTGTTTGATAATGACTGCGTTCTGTCCCAGAGAACAGACTCTGGGTCTCCTTCAGAATTGATGCAAGAAGACGGACTACTCCAGAAATATGATCCGGACATCTCTTCAGTTCCACCCCATCTCAACGGTTAGCCTTCTCCCTAGAGACTGTAAATGCTTGGTGGTTGATGGGATGATTCCTAAAACTGTTTTATTGCAGATTTCAGACAGTCTGTGAACTGTGTACCAATCCGGCACTCCCTTCCACCCTCACCATCCCCACCATTTCCGTCCTACCCTGCCCAGGAGCTCATGGGGTTGGAGTGGGACCCCTCAGTGGACATTGGCCGGTCAGTCTCCCATGATGATGCGGACTCTTCCTACTTTAGTGCCTCCAACGGTAAGAAGCTAGTCTCTTCACAACCCAAAATCCATCAAACTTGGAGTATTTTTAAGCTTAATATTCCAGTAGGTTCACCAACTACAGGAGCTGCTTGTTTAGTGGAAAAAATCCTTATTAGAAAAGTTCTCCAGATACAGTAAAATAAACTTTACAGTCAGTAATTTTAACTCTACTTAGCTGGGATCTATCCGTCCAACATCAGCTCATGAAGATAATGGGATTTTTCTTAAGCTCGACCTGGAGGATCCATAAGGGTCCCTTGGCCAAAGGGATTTATAGTAACTTTATAGTTCTTGCCCTTCCTCCTGGAACCCTTACAGGAAGTCTGAAGCATATTTAAGACCGGCCTGAGGGTCGCCTCTGCTAAAACCATGTTTATTTGCAGTTCTAAAGAACTGGATACTTTATCCCAACGTGGTCCTATTTCTTAAATCATTGTGCAGCATTTTTTTTTCCTTTGGTGCCTTGGGTTTCAAAATCTTTCCCTGAGAGGGGTAGAATTAGCGTCATCAGACTTCCACAAGAGTTTTATTTCCTCTGCTCTACAGGTCTGTGTCAGAGAGAGGACACCAAGAGGTGGAGCTACCTCAGCTCCTTTGACTCTCGCTCTGACATCAGCACTGACATCACAAACCAGGAAGCAGTTCTGGTGAGTTACATGACTTCAGGTTTCGTGATAATTTTTTTCATCTTTTTTTTTTATTATTTATGCAACGTTTCAGCCACCCAAACCATGGCTTGTTATTGCAGCTGACAGAAACTGTTTAGTGGTTCTGGTTGTTGCCGCTTCAGAGGAGGTTCAAAGGAACTTCAAATTCTTTCCATTTAATTATTCAAAACTCCATCACAATCCCCAAACCCTCCACTCAAATATACTGGAGAAAATGAATATTGCAAAGTCTGATTTATAATTTTTTATCTATACATGGAATTGCAGCTTCATAGCATGTAATCTGGTATTTTAAGGGCTTAATTTTATGGCTCTTTAGGTCTTTGCAGATGCCTTTAGCTCAGTGGTTTATCGAATTTTATTTTACCATCTTGAGGATTTTGTTTGTCTTAAAGATGAGGGACTTATTAGACAACATTTTTCGTCAGCTTGAATGAGTTTGTGTTGTCTCCAGCGTCTATTGGCTCTGAGGCACCTCAGCGGTCTATAATTCATTTCCCAGAACCTTTGCTTCCATTTAGCTGAAATCAGTGTTATGCTGATGATGTTCAACTTAACATTCGTTTGAAAGATCGTTATTCTTTGCTACACCTTATCTATCAGGTTTGCTTCACCCATTTTTTCGTACATGGTTTCTTAAGTGAAGTGACCAGCTGCTTCTGTTGCTTTTTTAGCTTCGTAAAGACTCTGTCTCTCATGTTCATAATAATGTGAGTTGTTGTGTTGTCTAACATTGTTATATATGTTTGTACTTAATTTACTATTTTATTTACTTTTCTCCTAATTTTCAACAAATTTGTCAAGCATTTTTATGCTTTATGAACAAATTGGTCTGCATTAAATGCATGGTTTTATTGGGTAGCAGAGAGTCCAGGCCGTGATGGATTTTAGGAGACGGCAACATTGTTCTAGAGAGAAAAAGCTTTCTCCTTTCATTATTTTAAGCTGCCAGACCGGTTTGGGGTGGGTCATGGCCCTTAACTTGTTATTTGAAGCTTGTATAGTATGAGATTTTGGTAATTTCTCTGGGCTTCCCACTCTGACCTTGTCCTTAATCTGCAGGGACATCTAGTCCAGGGCAGATTAGCAGCTGTCTGAGATGCTTTTCTTCTAACATTTTTCCTCTTTATGTTATAAACAGTGCTTATCTAAGGTCACTACTGATGCAGTTCTTTCCTTGTGTTGGCATAACAATCAAACTCATGTAGGCTCCACAGGAGCAAAATACTTAATGGCCTCCAAATGTTAAATTCAGATAGAGAAAACCACTACCTTTTGCTGGTTTGATCATTTCAGGTTAACTTTAGGACCTGAGAGGATCCCTGTCTTGGTGATCTAGAAAATGAGTCAGGCAGCTGTTTGTTCTACAAGTTTTGTAAAGGTTCCAGCCAGGCAGACGAGCTCCAAGCAAACTCCCATGTCAGTGGATGAAGAGAGCACATCCAGCCAGTCACAGTCAGAGAAACAGGACTACTCTGGAAAAACAGGCCGATCTCAAACATCTATAAACAAAGGTGTCAATGGCAGCAGCACAGCTGAAATTTCTCTCCACAGTCATGTCACAGCCAAACAGGAACAGATGAGGCGAAGCTGCTATGAGAAAAGGCAGAGAGAGTATAACTTTAGAGATTAAAGTAACAGATTCTGCAGAGTGGAAGAATAGAAATACAATGAAGCAAAATTATGAAATAGGGGTCCTTATGTCCTCCAGAAGTCTAAGCACCATAACTATAGAGATAGTTATAAAGCTCCATAGGTTTTAATCAGGGCTTCTAAAAGGCTTGAATGATACAAATACAATGTCAGGTATTTTGATGGAAAGATATAAATGATTGTACAGTTTGTTTTAAAGCTGACCCATCAGTTTAAAGTTTAACAAAGAATAATGTGAAATGTTTATATTATTTCTGCAGTAATGCATTAGTCATTGGTACAAAACTAAACCAGAACCATGGTTCTGTTTGGAGCTGCTTCCCAAAGTCAACATGTAGAAAAACTTTGACTTTGCTGGTCAATTTGTTAGATAGTTTATGAAATCCTTTTAGTGACTGATGTGGAAAACATTTCAAGCAGATTAAATACGGAGTTGATCCTAGAGGTATTTATTTTCCCTTCTCTACAGAGTCCATGGGAATGGACAGACCAAACAGATCCTGGGTTGTTCTCACCCATCACCACCAGTCAAGCAGAGGGCCAATGGACTGTCTTGACCACTGAAGGGGACGCCAATGAGCCAATGGGGTTCAATGGAGGGCGGGTCAATGCGTGGCTGAGGGTCCAGAGCTCCTCCACTGCAGACAACCCGAGTTCAGGTTTGCAGGTGGTGCCGACTGATGCGGACAAGAAGGTCTGTTGCTGTTTTCAGTTCACTGTGATGCTCAGTATCCAGTTTTTTTCTGTCAGTGAAACTTGGATTTCTTAATTGTCTGCTAATGTAATGTGGACTGGACTCTTTGTGTCGATTTGGATAATTTGGGTGTAGAACCACACTGATGTGACTGGTTCCAGAGACTCCATTTGAACTTTGGTTCAGGAGCTGTTTGAGTGGATCTCTGAGCCATCTCAATTCTCATCTCACAGTCAAAATTAAGTGTCCCTATGGGTTTTTAACCATGTAGATAAAGTTTAGATCTTAAAATGGATGTACATTTTTTTGGAATGTTTTAGTCTCTGATGATTTTGGACTTAAAGTTAGATTCAGATTTTATCCAGATCGGCTTTTGCAGCTGTTCCTTGGGCGCCTTACAGTCTGAACATTTTTAGTACCAGACATATTCTATGTATGTATATGTGTGTGTATTTGTATGTATGTATGTATGTATGTATGTATGTATGTATGTATGTGTGTGTGTGTGTGTGTGTGGGTGTGTGTGTGTGTGTGTGTGTGTGTGTAGGTGTGTGTGTGTGTATGTGTGTATATGTGTGTATATGTATATATATGTATATTTATGTGTGTGTGTATTCTATATATCTTAATAATGCTGTAAAAACAATGAAGATCAAGGAACCAAAATGACAGGTCAGGAAGACAATTCAGTATAAAGAAGGGTTTAGATTTAAAAGTCTCCCAATCTTTAAACATCTACCAGAGCATCTATCAAAAACCAAAAACATCTATCATCTAACAATCTTTAGAAAGCCTTAAATCTAATTCTGATGAATACAAATTTTTGTTAATCAGTTTTTATAGGATCAAAAACTACCTCTTCAATGTTTTATCCCTATTTTGTTGAAAAAAGATGACAACAACCATTAAACAATTGATCATTTCTAACTGCACAAGATACAATGCTCTCAAATTAAAGTAATAAATTCTAAATACATTGATTGTGGCCTTTGGAGAGGTAGATGGCAACCTCCCAAAATTAACAAAAAATGAGGCCGAACGATCGGCTGACCGATCAATAGGTGGACCACCATTTCTTTTTTAGATCTTATTCTTTGATCATTTGTTCATAAACAATAACATTTACTACATTATTTTTCCAAAATGACATCCTATGGAAGAAAATGTATCTATCCTTTATTTTGCAAAATATATGGGTTTTTTTTTTCAAACCTAGAAAAGTGTAAAACTGTGATTTATTTATTTTTTTACTATAAATAAAGTCAAATTGTCTTGCCTCTCATGTTTCTGCTTTAATCTGTGTGTTTAGTTCTGTGAGGGCGCAGATGCATTCAACCAGTTGCATCTTCATCCTAACAGCCAGCATTGTCATGACAACACCCAGCATCCTCTTCCTGTCCCTTTAAAACCATCTTGTGACCTGGAAGGAAAAGCTTTGGCGGATCACATGAAGCAACCTCAGAGGCTGGCTTTACAGGTGAGTCTCAGAATATTTCATTTATAGATCAGCAGGATCATCACCCCTCCTTCAAAGACCAATGTGTGGTTGTTTTATCAAACATTCTGTATCTAGACAGGTTTTTCTCAGAACTTACTACCAGATGTTTTTGTGTTATTCAGGATGAAGATGAGTTCTCCTGCTGTGAAGAAGCGGAGCTGCTTCTCTCTAAGCAGAGGTGAGAAACTCACAAACACTAAGCAGCCCCTGAAGCTACAGAGCAAATATTCATAACCAGAAAGTGGAGCTGCTCATTTTTTTTATTAATTCTCAGCTAAATGAAAAGATTCAAGCAAACATTTAGGTTCTGTAAATGATCTAATCTGTTTAGCAAACAGATTAGATCATTTACAGAACCTGATTGTAAGTGGAAATTATCTAAACTAAGGACCTGTTTCTGCTCTGTTTACAGTCACACAGACAGCAGACCATCCTCCTCTTCCTCCTCCTCCTCATCAGCACTCCTCTACCTTCTCCTGGCCACAGCAGTCGCTCTGCTGGCCAGTCTGATTTGGGTCACCATGGAGCCTCCATGTCACCGTAGCAACAGGATGCCACGGTCCCTCCACCTGACTCTTAGATACATCAATGGGCCGCCGCCGACCTGAAGCCCTGGCAAGTTCTCTCTAGGTCAAAGGTTATCCATCAGGATCAAATGAGATGCTCCTGATAAACCATTCTATTCCTTCCAGAACTAAACCCACTTCCTGTGGTTTGTGTTTGAACATTCCAAAGCAGCCCCTGCATTGAGTCTCATTCCAAATCCATTTTAATATGTTTTCAGACAGAGAAACCTCTGATCCACAGTTTGTAAATTAAAACAGTTTAATAATCGGTAACGTGTCTCTCCTGTAAACGTCTGATTTCAGAGGAGTTTCCTGCTAAATTCCATGGGTTAAATTAACCCCTCCACCAAAAGCAGTGAAACCCAGGAGACTTGTTTGAATCTTTCAAATCTTGATAGATAGGATGTTGTGGAATACACTTTCAGGAATGTGAAGAGTGGAATGAATTTATTTTTTTTCTTTCTTTTTTCTTTACATTATTTCCATCTGTCTCTGTTGTGTTACAGCTGAAAGATGCCTCTGAAACAGATCTCATTTTTGGACTTTCCTTTTTCAATCTTTGTGTCATTTATGTATACATATATGTATATTTTCATGTTGAATTTTCAAAATTCAAATGATGCAAAAAAAATTCCATCTAGGTTCCTATGAAGGTCCAAATACTTTGGTGAAATTGAAGTGATTTTTTTTTTAAACCATGGAAACATTTTTGACATGAATAAAAACATAAATGTGGGTTTTCTGCAATGTTGAACATTTCATTTTTTATTTTTTGTAAATGGAGAAAAAAAAGATGCTGAATGGAAAAAAATATATATTATATTTGTAAATGATGAAATGAAGTTAAATAAAAACTGCTTTTATGTGACTCTTCCCTTGTTATTTCACCTCCATGGGTCTGCAAGATTGGTATAGGAAAAAACTAGACTAGATAGAACAAATGAACTACATTGAAAATTAAATACTATAAACTTACCAATAGTGAGTTGACAACAGCTTCTTCCCCTCAGCTGCTAATAAGCTGCTGCTTCATCATACCATACCACAGAAGATAGGCTCTAAAGTAGGGGTCAGGATGCCTCTGGAGCATTTCAAGATAATTTAAGAATCATTATGATTTGATTCCTTTGGTGCATGTAAGGCTAGGAAGGACAACAAATAATGATTAATTATAAAATTACATTTATTAATTTATTTCAGACTATTTTAGACCGACAAAAGTTATGGGCAAATGATGATTTCAATGAAATCAACAATTCCATATTCATATATGGTATAAGCTGGTCAATCTTCACAAGTCATTTTCCACAATGGCAGTTGCAAAAACAAAGCAAGCCGGTAAGGTACTAAACAGGAAATATGGATAGTGTAGAGCGGATGCAGATTTGACCAATCAGAGGCCTACTGTCTGTGGTCACCTATAATTTTCGGATAACACATACGCAGACGACCTGGTTTCTGAGCATAAATCAGCCTTAAGGCAGTACGCAGAGAACTAGCAACACCATCAACAAAATCATCAACCTGCGAAGGGTTGATGATTATTAGTCTATTTACTTATTTATTTTTATTGTATTTTAAATAGGCCTGTAGGCTCATAGGTCTTTTGTCCCCCCCAAAAAACAGAAACATTTTCACATCACCCCCTATGTAAAATTACTTCCAGCAGCCCTGTGCTTTTATTTCCTTTTAGGTATGCGATACTAGGAAATACTGAGTTTCCTCATTGTGTATTGAATTAGTTTTTGTTTATCAGCATTGCTTAGGTACCTAAAGTCCTTAAAATTCTTTAGACAAAAAAAACCCACTCTGACTTACTGGAATTCGCACTTTTCCTGCAGCAGCAATTAAACCAGCACGGGATGCTTTATGGCTATAAATTAATGCAACTTAAATGTATTCCAGCTGGCTTGGTGGTGTCTCAAAGACCTTGAGCAGGTTTGGTACCTGCTCAAAAATCCTAGATCCTCAAGGGGTATGGCTGAGGCTTCAGAATCGTTTAAGTTGACGTCTCTACAGAAACCCAGGTCCCAACTTCATAAAGCATGTCGATTTATATGACAAACCATACAGAATCTGTATTAATGGAGTTATTGACCGACTTTTGTGTAATGTCAAATAGCTGCATGCTTTCAGAGTTTGATCTGGAATGGAGGCGGAGGGAGGAGGAACATGCCTAATGAAAAGGATGAAAGGATCTGATTGTTTCTACGAGCTGAGATGAGCCAAAAGACTCAGTTAAAGGGGAAATAATTCGATGTTAGCAGAGGAATGTTCCCAATGCACTTTTAACCCCAATGCCTTGGGACAAATCCACCAGATCTCAAACTGAGGATGCTTTTAGTTTCAAAACAGTGGAAAGATTCCACTATATAATATTAAAACTATTCATTTGCAGCATTAAAATGTCTAGAAAGGTTTGGAGGATCATCTTATGTAACGGTCCCTTCTCTTTCAGAGGTCTATTTATAGGCCATTTAGATTTAAGTGTTTAAAAGAAAGACAATCCCCTCTACAGCTGCAAAGAAGAGGAAGCTGATCGAGTTAATACTTAGGTTTATATGAAATCGATTATGGCAGGTAGTTTTGTCAATTATTAAAAGCACTTTCCTCTCTTTTGTTCTATTTGTAAATCACTAAATAGGATTCTTCCTCAAGATCACTTTCTTGGTTGGAACTGTATTAAAGCTACAGTGTGTAATAATTACAGGGATATACAGTCAGAAATGTAATATATTATACATAACTATGTTATTTATCATCATCTACGAGCTCAGCCTCTTAACCTTAATATTTGCGTTGCCTTAGAATTCGTTATTTATAATTACATAGGAGCGGGTCTTGCAGCCATGGAGGCAGACATCTTTGCGCTACGGCAGCGCAGAGCCAACAAACTAGCGATTGCGAGATCGCCAAAACGTCACAACGATGTAGAAAAAATAACGGGTATATTTATTATCTTAAGTCTACATGAAATCTATACCCTACACAGACTAATGAAATACTATCTGTAAAATTATCTATGTAAACAAACCTCATCACTTGAGAAGGTAGGTAATGCGGACGTCGTAGAAGACATTTTGTCCTGTAACGCTCGCCGTACTGTTGGGGGGGAGAAGCGGTGGGGGGGGATGTTCATGTTGCTGCGGTCTGCAGTCTGGACGTTAGATGTCGTTGAAAATTACACACTGTAGCTTTAACAGCAGAAACCGAATTTGAGCATTTAAAAAGTATGTTATTTCAGACCTAAAAATGTCTTCTGATAAGGAACACATGTATGTGATGATTTAGTTGAAAACAGGGGGGTGGGGATGGGGGGGTGCACCAGGTAGCAGGTGAAGATCCTGCAAATGTGAGGAGGGATAAAGATTTTAACAGTATATTAAAGCACCTCTATACATGGTTTGAAAGCTTTCTCTATATAAATAGTGTATTCTTTGCAAATTAATGGTGCTCATTTTTTCATTGAATTTTCTTGTCTAGGGGACATGCTAAGTTTGTGTTTTCAACACCTAATGTCTCTGATGGACCTACTGAGTGATTTTCTATTTTTTGTTCACACAAAGCTACGACAGAGTAAATCAGGAAACAAAACAACGTGGTCGGCTTTAAGGAAGTGTTGTTTTCATCAATGATGACAGTGAAAACATTTTTTTGTTGACGCTCCTTTTTTCCATGACAATAACGAAAACGGACAAGGTAAACATAAATCTTTGATGATGAAAAAAAGATGTCGGGTCATGGATGTGGGTTTTCGTTGACCGGACGAGAGAACATTAGCGAGTGGTCTGTCAGACGTTTAAAATCATCATTGTGCTGTGATTTGTTAGTCAAGCTAAGCAGTATCAGCCGTGCTGCTGCGTCCTGTTTGGTCATGCCACCTAACCGGTGTGCAGCGGTGCACATTCTGCATGACCAAAGTACTTCTAAGTACTTCTTTTAATCTTTAAAGGAGTGATGGAGGATTTTCGTGAATTTTTGAAAAGACACGTCCTCTCCACTACAAAAAAAAGGACATGCACAACCCTGTACCTGCTCCCGAAGGGGAATGCTTATTCCGTGAGAAAACTCGTATTTAGAGTTTTAGCTCGTGCATGTGAGAGCATGCACAAGCTAATTTCTCCTTGTTTAAAAGTTTATGTTTGCATTGCTCATACAAGTTTAGTTTCTAAAAGAAGATTTGCAATTTTTCCACTATGTCAGTCTCACCATGGGTAAGTGAAAATGGAGATGAGGACAAGGGAACACCTTACGGAAACATATCAACAGAATGACTGACAATTAGGAGGACCACTTGTTAAGATGATCCACCCAGAAAAAAGAACATCATCCACTATACCTTTAAACAACTAAAGAATGCTAATACACATCTTTAAAAAAAAAGTGTATGACTTTTCTGAGGCAATTTCATGCTCATTACATATTCTCCGTTTAACAGCTTGTCTGACGTCATCATCGGACATTCTCAGAATATTCTGGCAAAATATAATTAAACCATTTTCTACATTACGCACGGTATACCATAAGGTTAAAATGAAAGGAAAAAATAAATCTCAAAAAGACTAGATTTATGTTTACATCCAAAGCCAAAAAAATTAACCCCCGCAAGTAGAATAGGATCCCATTTCCGGTACCGATCGGGCACAAACCAGTGATAAATCAGCAAGGATTTTAATGCATTTATTTTCTCAGAAAATACATCATTAAAAAATTTACTACATTATAGTTTAGTACACTTGCAATTTTTAGAGAGGGAAAAACGTAATTTAGGTCTATTTCACAAAGTCAAAATGAGGATGATCCAGATGTATATCTGGTTGTGCATGGGCAAATGAACTGATGGTATGGATCATGCTGTCAGAAAAGCATACACTGTCAATTTGGCATACATTGTTTTAATACACATGCAAGCACATGTGCGAGAGAAAATTATTCCCATATTGAATTTTAGCAACAGTGTACACCAGGTTTTTGTAACTTTTAAAAAAGAAAATCTGCTTATAATCCGATTATACCGTATTTTTCTGGATGCTTCTATAGCTAAAAGCATATTAGTCAAAATAAGTTACTTTAGTAGTAAAAAATGTGTCCGGGAGTTGCAATTTGTAATGTTTTGTTTTCATGTTTAAAACCATAGAAAACATGATTGTGGTTTATATTGTGATTCGGAATTCATTTAGGTTAGATAAAAACCTAAGTGTATGCCAATCTGACAGCGTATGCTGTTCTGACAGAGCACCGGTATGGATAAGGTAATGACAGGGTGGTCAGATCTGCTCTGCCCCTGCTAATCACCTCACAATATGGCAACACTACTCAGAAAAACAGTTTTCCACATGTTTCTTGAAGTAAAAAGTCTGGTCAGCAAGGAATAATCAATGGATCATTATTTATACCTAAAACTAATTTGTTTGTGGTGATTTAATAAATTTAGCATTAATTAGTAAAAAATGAAAATAATACATTTCTTTGCAATCAATACCGTAAGTCCAGAATCTGCCGTTTTTGCCCAATTATAGTCACACCTCACTCCTCTCTCATGATAGTGACTCAAATGGAAAGACCACCAACATGTCACAGAATTTGTTGAATGCTATAATAAAACTAATCTGAGAGATGACTTCAGTTTAGTGGTAGCTTCCCTACTCTGTACACCGCAAGACTTCGGAAGGCTTCCTCTTTTACTGAACCACTCACACACTGTCTGTATAACCATTGAGGAGAAGTCATTAACGGACATACCTTCCAGACTCTGGTGGGACAACAAGTACTTCAGATT